TTTGGATCAGCAGGAAGCTGTGCTCCATGCCTTCTTCATTCTGGGACCCAGGCATGTGGGACAGCCGCTGTCTGGAACGTTGCCAGTTGCTGTGGTAAAAGAAAGGAGAAGACAGCATGTTACTCACTGCTTGTAAAGCCTCCTCCTAGAAGCCACACGGATCACTTTTGCTGTCATTCTATTGGGCAAAGCAAGTCACCTGGTCACACCTAATGCCTACCATGTCTCAGGAAGGAGAATTGGAAATAGTCACTGAGCAGGACTAATGACCACCATACTCTGTTAATTTCCCAATTTCATCCACTGGAAGAATAGTCCCTTTCTGATTTGGGGGTATCTGTTGTTTTTTCTGCACCTTTCCCCCTGATTCTCAGGACAAACTCAGCCTCCCTGGCCATAGGAATGAACACAGGACTCAAGTTAGGCAAATCACAGTATTTCGTGGCTCAACCACTGTCACTGGTTCAAGGGACAAGTGCGTGACCAATCAGGATTATTCAAATTGCAGCTGGGGGAGGAAAGCCCTGTGTTCTGTGAACAGAGTTAGGGGAGTTTGGGCTGAACCTGCTCTCCGCCATGCTCTGTGCTACTTGGTAAGCAGTGCTGGGAGAGCAAAGCTGGTGAAGGGAGAGAGGGAGACAGAGGCAGAGGCCTCCTAAGGCTGCCCATACCACTGCCCTTCGCACCTGGGCTGATCCTGAGCCCGTCTGCTCCAGACCCAAGCCTTCCCTTGCTCTGCTCTGTATTCAGAGGGGCTGATCCCTGATGCCTGTGGTTCCCTCCTGTTGCAGCTGGCTTCCATTGGTTTGGCCAGTGGGAGGCACTGACTGGATGCTGAAGGGCAGGGATGCAAGGGCATTTCTTCTCTCTCTCTGCTTTGGGTTGATTTCTCCAGCAGTGAAGAAGTACCTGTCTTGACTTCAGCTTCCCCTGGACATGTCTGTCAAGGTTCCAGCTTCCATGCGTTTACACAACCCTGGGCTTCCAGCACCTTGGTCCCTCCATCTTCGGGCTGGTAGTAGCTTCCCGCTCTCAGGTATCTCTGTGTTACCTTTCTCTCCTTTGCTGGGTGGGCTCTCAGCTTCCTCATCACCTGTATAGCCAATTACCTGCATTAAATCATTTCTGTTGTAAATACTAGAAGCAGTTTCTGTTTTCCAGGTTATACCTTGACTAATCAACCTCTGTTTGATTAGGTAAGCTAATGTCTCCTCTTTGGCTTAAGTGAATTTGAGATGAGTCTCTGTCACAACCTAGAGAGTCTGGACTAATGCAGTAGTCAATTGGAAAAGAAGTCCTACCAGCTCCTTAGCACAAGATGCCAGGCACTATAGTCAGCATTTTGTTTTCATTATGAAATCCGTGAGGTAGGAATTATGACCTCCATTTTACAGATGAGGAAGCAGAGACACAGACAGATTAAGTAATTTTATCCTAATCCAGTTCATTTTCTTTAAACAGAAATTCACTTTAGAACCAGCTGCTCCATTAAACAAGAAAGGAATTCTGGGCCGGCCCGGTGGTGCACTGCTACAGTGCGCCGCTTGGGAGTGCGGTGGCGCTACTGCCGAGGGTTCAGATCCCACATACAGACCGGTTCCCGCTCACTGGCTGAGCGAGGTGCGGGCGCAACACCAAGGGTTGCGATCCCGTTGCCGGACACGAAAAAAGACAAAAAGGAAAAAAAAAAGAAAAGAAAGGAATTCCCACAGGTATGTCGAGGCTCAGGGGTGGCATGACAAGAAAGGAGGTGAGGAACGACAAAAGGCAAGTCTGTATGCTATTTTGTGACATGGCCCGGGAGTGTAACATGCTTCCCCCAGTCGGGACTGTAATGAGTAGAGAGAGTTCCATGGAAATGAGCTCCAGGCTTCTCCAGTAACTGTGATTCAAGTCAAGTTCTTGCTGCTAATTGCACACACATTTTGCTAAAGGTAGTAAATAGGAATCATTCACGTGTCCTTAGAGACCATGGTACCATTCGGTATTCACGGCAAATATATCACTGAGCTTCATAAGAGAATCATTTTAAAACAAAGCTTGGTCAGCTGTTTAATAATTTACTGATAGTGACAGCAGGGAGAATATCTAATAACCAGTGAGATTGGCTTTCAAATAGAAAATAAATTCATGTTAGAAGAGTCAGAGAAAGGAAAAAAAGGGGAAAGTGGGGAGGGGGTGTTATTAGCAGTAAGGAAACACTTAACATTTATCGATTGCTGATTTTTTTGAATCCTATCAGAGTGCAGAAACCTGATTATTAAGAAATTGCAAAATTCCACGTTTAATTTTAAAATATTCATGGGCTCTTAATATTCTTTTCACAGGAAACAAGAATCATATAGAGATCCAGTCCGCTGACGAAGGGGCTTTGGCCCTAACTGGGCACTGAAGTAGCATCAACTTTTGTTAATCTGGGGACTTCTGGGGGGCATATGGTTTCTGTTATCACATCATGATTGTTCCTGGGGTAGGTGAGGCCTGGGAGATTCTGGAGAGCAAAACCTTGAAGAAACAAAACCCAAACTACAACTGTACACTCTCCTGCTCCGGGGAGAACCTAGCCCAGACTTATTACAGGAGAGCTGGCTTCTGGGTAAAGGAAACCCTATTTATTTTTGTTTACTGGCAAAGCTCTGTCGAAACGTCTGTAAAATGAAAAGGGTTTTGAGATGGGCAGGCTCGAAGTTCCCTGCCGATTCTGATATTCTTGGCCCATGATTGGGAGACATGATTAGAGCAAATTGAAAAGGTCCAGGAGCTGTTGAGAGGTAAACAAAAACCAAAACCAATATCGATCCCAAATCACCAGATATACTGTGCCTCAGTTTCCTCACCTGTACATGGGGAATAACAAGAGAATCATAGGCATTTACCTGCGTACGTGACACACAGTAGGCACTCAGAAAACTCAGTTTCAAGCATTCCAGAGGCAGAAGCGAAACCAGAGTAAAAAAGCCCCAGGACTTTCAATCTTTAAGCTTCATTGGCGAACAGTGATATATAGTGTTTCTGGGTAAAGGAACATCTCAGTGCACCCTGCCCTCCAGGGCCCTCCCCAGAGCACAGGGCGCACTCTGTCCTCAAACCAATCCCTAAGTTTGCCACTCTGGAGACAGGCTTCCAGGTAAGACAGATTATGTCTGTGTTCACAGGTGGTATTTTTTGTGGTTTTACATTCTGAGTTTGTACCCTTAATCCTTCATGTTCGTTTCAAGAAACATACTCTCATTCTGCCTTCAATTATTACCATTTTTTTTAGCTTGTAGAAATAATGATTTATCAACATTGTATTTAACATGAGGATGGCATGAATGAACATGTATAGTCTGGCCTGTCATGCTGATGGACAATCTCAGGGTGTCTGGGGTCCTCCCCAGCTCAGATCTGTGGAGGGGTGAAGGAGATCTGGGGGCTGAAGTTCACTGCTATCATTTTGGGTGAAATGTATTTCTAGGTAGTCTAATAAAATACTTCTTAAACAGGTGCTATTTCTGGAACTTAAGGAACTAGTATTTATTCCACTGGATTAGCTGTAGATCAGCTGGCTGGCTGAAAACATTTTGAGGATAACACTCATGCTTTGACTCAGAGGAAAGGGAAGTTGTGTAAAAGTCAGTCTATACAGGTATGGGGGGTTGAAATGTGTGGCAGATGGAAAGGGGGAGTAGGTGGGTAGAGGGCAGACCCCAGGTAACTGGGTGGATCTCTAGACCACTTATTAAAGGGGTTTAGGAACACTTTGATTCATAAGCGAGGTAGACAGATGTTACCAGACTACCCAAGATTATTTGGAGAAAACACCCCTTCCCCGCTCCACTCAGTCTTCATGGGGCTGTCTGTTATGGCAACTGTCCTCGATATGGAGAGGTGGACAGATGACCTAGGCTGGGCAAGTATAGGACCCCCTGTCCCCCAACTTCCCTGGTCAAATTGATTGGTTCAGGAAATGGAATGTGAACCAAATCAGTCAATTAATATCTTTTGGATAGAGCTTGGCAGGGTGCTACAGGTCTTTTTTTTTTTTTTATTATTGAAGGTGCTAAACTGTGAGAACCATATACAGAGCAGTCAGTGTCTGATTTCTCTGACTACTCTCAGAGAGAAGCACAGCTGAGATGTGGAGAGAGATACAGAGAGAGAGAGAGAGAGATGGAGTCCTGATATCATCATTTGAGGGCCTGGATCCAGCTTTGCTGGAAGGTGTTCCCGAATAGCTCAGCTATATAAGCCACTGAATTCCTCTTTTCATAAAGCCTCAGGGGCCTTTATCGTCATTCCTGTCTGCTACAAACAGCCCTTTACTGCTCTGAGCCTGGGCCAAGTGCTTCTGGCAGTCAGAGTACAGCCCCTGTTGTACCTGTGTTGGCCTGGACAGAGTTACCCAGTGAGGACCTTTCATGAGACTCCCCTGAGCACAGTCTGATAAAAAGTTCAAATTTCCCGGCCCTTCCCTGAAGCTCTGGGCTCATTGCTATGGGGTGAGTGAGTTATTAACAAGCGCTTCTGGTGGTTCCTGGGATCAGGGACAGTTGGGAACCGTCACCCTGATATATCTCATTCCATACCCTCACAGCCTTGCTCGGGTTCCTTTCCAAGGAGCTGGCTTCCCCACAGATTTTGACAAATGGGGCACTGTCCCTCCTGTTTGAAAACAAATTCTTTTTTTTTTTTTTTCCTTTTTGTCTTTTTTCGTGACCGGCAACGGATCGCAACCCTCAGTGTCGCGCCCGTACCAACATTTATTGAGTGCTTGCTGTTTGCCATGTTGGGGCTTGGCTTTGGGGTCAAGAGGATCTGTGTAAGACACAGTGCAGGTACCCTCAGGTGCTGCCACCCTTGCGGAGAGGTAGGTCTGCAGATGGCACAAATGAAATGGAACTAACTCTTTGCCCAGCCCACCACAGCTCAGCCTATGGTTACTGCCCAGAGCTGAGCCTTGAAGGATAAGGATTTGGATGTAAGGAGAAGGATCAGGAAGGATAAGCATTTTGAATTGGGATTCCAGAAAGAGAGAGCTACACAGACAAAAGCCCAGAGGGAGAGAATGGCCAGTTGTCGTGCATGGCTTGGAGTGAAGTGAGTGTGGAGGAAATGAACTCAGAGTACAGAGAGCCACTGCATCTGGGTCTCAGCCTTTTTGGCATGTCCTCGCCTATGTAAATGTGCAGAATCTTTCAGATCCCTGAGCATTTGCCTGGCTGTTCTGGCCACCTGGAATGCCCTTCTTTCCTTCTCTATCTGGTGAAGACTTCCCTGTAGGGGGAGTCTCAGGTGAATTAGGGAGGGGATGGGCTTGGAAAGGGAAGTTGGGCCCAGCCAGTAGAGGATCTGGTTGGCCACATTAAGGACTGTGGACACCACAAGGACAATGGGGCATTAGTGAAGGGTTTTAGGCTGGCGTGTGATACAGTCTTTGTGAACAACCACTCTGGCTGCTGTGTGTGGGGAGGAGTTGGAAGGGATGAGTCACAGGCAGTGAGGAGCTGAAGCTGGAGCTCAGGTCACTGCAGGGGGATGGGGCGTGTGATACAGTCTTTGTGAACAACCACTCTGGCTGCTGTGTGTGGGGAGGAGTTGGACGGGATGAGTCACAGGCAGTGAGGAGCTGAAGCTGGAGCTCAGGTCACTGCAGGGGGATGGGGAGGAGCAACAGGTTCACTCCACCTCCTAGTGATGAGTCGATCCCTATCTGGAACCTTCTGGAATCCAAGTTTAGAGTCAGAGACCAGGAGAAAGGCCAAGAGTCTTGGGGAGGCCCCAATGATCTGAAATGGCCTGTGTCGAATTCCAGGGCACTAGGCTGCTGTGGGAACAGTGGCTTTTCTCCTGCTTCATCAGAGAAGCCACTTTGGTGGAAGCAAGAAGTAAAACCTGGGGCCATATCTCAATCAAGTTTGACGTCTGTCACTGAAACACTGCCGCTATCATCACCCTGTCCCCGGTGTGCTGGAGTGACCTCTCAGTGTGGGCTGACTGTGGCTCCTTGTGGATGGGGTCGCTTTGTCTTGACATCCCCACTGAAAGTTAGAGGTGCAAACATCCATGGTCACTCAGTTTTTTTAATGACAAGAAACAGTGGCAGATTCCACTTGGGTGAGATGTAGTGCTAGCTTTAAATTCAGGGCACCCCAGACACTGAGGTCTACTTGCCAATAGTCTGGATCATATGCTGGTGTTTTGGCCCAAGGAAGGAGCTGGTTCTCCATGCCAAGTTGTCCAGGTGCCCATGACAAGGCTGGGTGGCATGATGAATCTAGGGCTTGGAAGTAGGAAGAAAGGAAAGGAAGGGATCTCGTGAGTGGGCCAGGTCCTGTTCTAGGTGTGTTCACATCCAGTAACTCATTTAATTCTGACTCAGCTGGGTGAGGTGGGAATAATCACCCCAATTTCACAGACGGAAAAACAGATCTGGAGAGGGAAAGTGACTAGTTTATGGTCACTTGAGTGGTCAATGGAGGTGTGGGAAATGTGAGCAGGTACAATGTTCCTCTCCGGAAGAGGGACATTACCAAAGTGGAGCATGACTGAGAAGTGGAGCCAGGTGCTGTGGGCCTGAAAATACTATGCGAAGAGGAACAGCAGGGTTTGAAGGAATTGAGAATGCTTACCCGGAGCACACCTGACATCCAAACACAGGTCACCTGCGAGTGCGTCCAGGCTCTTTCTTCCCCAGAGAGAAGATTCAACTTTGAAGGGAGGAAATTACAGAGTGGTAGTGTCAGTATAGAGTAAGGGAAGTCTTTCTAACTTCAAGGGCCTCAAATGGAAAATGGAACCCTTCATAAAGTCCTGCTTTTGGACAGTTAGAGCAATATTACTTGATAATACATACTTGTACAGAACAAAATGGTTGGTTCATGAGGTTACACTTGAAAAATACTTATGATTTCTAAGTTGCATTTGGGTTATTTATATTTGCGGGTCTTGACAGACAGCATTAATGCATATTAATATTCCTGCCATCGAAACATTACTCAAGCCAGAACTACTGGCTCTGAAAGCGTCTGCGGTGTGTGCACAGCCACTCTGCTAATAGAAAGGTTAACTTGTATCTTTGAATTATTGATGGTTGCTTGTTACTAATTTTTTTCCTCAGAAAGGAGGAAATTATTAATGAAGAGATCATTGCCAATGTGTCTGACATCTATTAATGGTTTCATCTTGCAACCAGATTAAAAGAGACAGCTGGTCCATGAATTTATGCGGGGACGCAGCACCAAATGTGCTGACAACTCCGTGGGAGGGCGGGGTGGGCAGGCAGTGGGGCCCAGGCATCCACACAGGCGGCTGGTGTGAGGTCCTCTCTGGCTGGCACAGCCTCCAAGGAAGGGCTGTTAAAGGCTTTGCTGCAGAAGGACCAGGCAGCGGATGGGCTATCATTCTCCTGGCATCTTTCCAAACTGTTCTGTTACCCACAGGAGCCCATTAGCACCCTTTCTGGGCTGGTCAGTTTTTGGCATCTCTTCCACAGGTGTTTTAGAACAATGCTTTTCAATTTGAGCATGCATCAGAATCACCTGGAAGGCTGGTTGAAACACGCCTTCCTGGGCTCCACCTCCAGCATTTCTGATTCAGTAGGTGAGGCCTGAGAACTTGCACTTCTAACATGTTCCCCGGTGATGCTGGTGCTACTGGTCCAGGGACCACACTTTCAGAACTAGTTTTAGATCAATGATTGTCAGATTGTGCTGTGAGACTTTCTCTAGAGAGAGGGTTATTTCTGATTCAGTAGGTGAGGCCTGAGAACTTGCACTTCTAACATGTTCCCCGGTGATGCTGGTGCTACTGGTCCAGGGACCACACTTTGAGAACTAGTTTTAGATCAATGATTGTCAGATTGTGCTGTGAGACTTTCTCTAGAGAGAGGGTTGGCAAACTTTTTCTATAAAGGGCAAGACACTTAATGTTTTCGACCTTGTGGGACGGACAGTCTCTGTCACCATTACTCAACTCTGCTCTGTATTTTGGAGAGCAGTCATAGACAATACATAAATGAATAAATGGGTTTGTGTTCCAATAAAACTTTATTTATAAAAACAGGCAGTGGGCCAGATTTGGGCCATGGACCGTAGTTTGCTGACCTCTGTTCTAGACCAGTGCTGTCTAATAGAACTTTCTGCAAAAAGTAGCCATATGCAGTATGCAAATCAATAAGCATGGCTGTGGCACAATAAGACTTTATTATAAAAACAGTCAGTAGGCTGGATTTGGCAGAGGTTTGCTGACCTCTGCTGTAGAGCAGCACTAATAGAACTTTCTATGATGATGGAAATGTTCTATATTTGTGCTGTCTGATATGGCAGCTGCTAGCCACATGTGGCTACTAGGCACTTGAAATGTGGTTAGTGTGACTAAGGACTGAAATTCTAAATTTTAAATTTAAATGGCTAGTGGCTACCAGTGCCACAGCAAGGAAATAGAGAAGGCTCTGATGGAGCAGCCACCCCGCGGCATGTGAAGTGGCACTTCTCACCTCCCTATGCAGGGTTTTTGCCCTCCTTGAGCCAGTTTCCTCATGTGTAAGATGGAAATAAAACAATAGCTGGCCTTTCCCCATGGGTAAGTGAGGCACCTTGGCCCAGGACATCTTCCCCTGGTGGGCTCCCCACTGGAGGGCTGACCACCACTGGGGGCAGGGAAGCTCTGAGTCCTCTACCCTCTTCTCTTTGTTCAGTCTTCCCTACCAGACTGTAAGCTTCGTGAGGGCAAAGACCACATCTATTGTTCAAGATGCGAATCCACAGCCCTGCAATCCCAGGCACGTGGCAGGAGGCCGGAACATTTGTTGAAAGGATGCTCCATGTTTCAGGGTTCTAAAACTGCACTTGGATAAAGAGATCTGCAGCTAAAACGTCTGGCCACTCCTGTCTTGGTCCCTACCAGAGCTGAAAGGGAAGTCGCTGTGCAGACAGGAAAACTGAAGCCCGGAGGTCTTGCCAAAAGTCCCATGGGGTGAAGGGCAGAGTGGCCCGAGGACGAGAGACCTACTGGGTGAGCATAACTGAAAGAAGCTGCAGGGTGGAGTGCCACCCCCTCCCCCAGACATCACAAAGCCCACCCTAGGCCTGGTCTCCTTCCTTCAGCACTGATGCTGGGCCCAGCCCTGAGCCAGGGCTAATGTGGTCATGCTGAAACTCCCCAGGCTGATGGGGCAGATGGGAAAGCAGCTCCTCCTTGCTAATTAGCATCTAGGCTCCTAGTGCAGGAGAGTGGGCGAAGACGCTTTCCATGACTCTCCTCCCCTGAGAAGCCAGTTCAGAGGGGGTGCCGCTTGTGTCAGCCCTCCCCCTACATCCCCTTTACCCCCATCTCCCAGCAGCTCCATGTTAAGTGCCCAGATACCCTCTGGGAACTCAGTCTTGCAGAACAGACCAAAGAAGAGACAAATAACCTCCCCACAGTGTGAAAAGCATCCCCACAGAGGCCAGTGCAGGGGGCCCGTGGCAACATACCTGGGGCAGGAAGGCCTGATGCCCAAAGCTTCAAAGAGAAGCCTAAGGACCAGCGTGAGTTCACCAGGGAGAAGATGCAGAACAGGGCCTTCCAGGCAGAGGGAACAGCAGGTGCAAAGGCATGGCTGTGCAACTGGATGCCAGAGCTCCGTGAGCAGCAGATGGGAGCGTGCTCCCCTGAAGGAATAGAGGGGCCAGTTTCCAGGTGTGGAGGGTGGCTCAGAAAGCACAGGTTGGGGGATTGTTATGATTTATGACCATATACCTGGGCAGGTAAGGCCTGGTGCTGGGATCAGGTCCTGTTCCACCAGCTCGGTTACCACCGAAATGGGGCTTTTTCTTGGGGCCACATGAACCCTATTCAGACCTGGGAGCTTTGCCTGCACTGACACAGCATCCCGAGAATGAGGATGCAGGTGGGTGCAGGAGGGTGCAGGAGGGTGTGTGCTCTGAAGACGCCATGGGAACTGCCATTTTATTTTAAGTTTCCAGAAAGCTTGAGAGAAGGAATGAATTGGCAGGGGCCCAAGGGAACTGGGACAAGTTACAAGAGTGACACCAAGCTCCTTAGTGGCTTAGGAACCTCCTCCTCCCTGCTTGGGCCGGCCTCTGGGATCAGCCATGACCTGAGTCACAGTTTGTGGGCTTGGGTCAGGTCTCTCCTCAGAGGCCCCATAACAGCTCATCTGCCCAAGGCAGGGCTTGAGCATTTCGTCCATCAAACAGCTGGCAATTGAGCTCTGAGCAGAAGGGATCTTCCTATCGCAATGGTTCCAGAGGGCTGTGCGCTACGTCCCCGGAGCCCAGCACATAATTAAGTGCGTCATACATATTTGCAGAATTATTAAGAATCTCTGAGGCAGTTTCTAAAAGGTCCAACCTGCAGGCCTGCCCTCACAGACCTGTGGGATCCCACTTGCCCCAGGCAGGGGTCTGGGCAGCAGGACTTTGAGAAACCTCCCTGGTAGTCCTTTGACCAGGGAAGTGTGGGAGGCACTGGTGAGTCCAACAGGACTTCTCCATTTGAAGGTGGTGGTAGTGGTGAAGGGGAGTCCAGAGTGGGGTGGAAGCATTTGCTTGGGATTACAGGTGCGGGTGGGGGGAGTAACCAGGCCTCCATTCAAGGGAACTGTTTCACCACACCTGGTGGGAACTGGGGTGTGAGCAGGAGAGGTCCTGTGTTCTCCGCCATAGCAACTCCAATCCAAAGCCTCAGGCTCCCACTTTTGGAAACCCTAGCCTTGCCTGACTTTCACCTGACTCCCCCCTCATCTGTCCAAGCCAATCCCTGGAACCCCGACAAGGATGAAGGATGGCTGTGCTGAAACAGAAGAAGGTTTTTGGTCAGGTAGCAAAGTGCGCACCAGGATGATTCCCTGGAGCATCTCCGGCAGTCTCCCGGCCGGCTTCGACATCCCAGGCCCCCAGCCGAGACCCAGTCTCCTCCTCCATATCCTCGTATCCTCGCTTCCAGGAGAGCAGAGAGCCCAGGCCTGGGGACTGGGCGGGACACTCAGGCTCCGATTTATGGTTTCAGGTTTACAGCTCCAACCAGGTCTTTGTTCAGACCAGGAAGAAAAAGGAAAAAGCTACATGGTTCTGTCTCCCGAGAAAGGGAGGGGGGAAGGCGGCCAGAGAAAGAGGCGGCATGCCTCGAGCCGGGTCTGCGCACCCTCCCGCATAGGGGTGGGGACAAGGAGTTGGGGGGTGGCAGGGAGCAACGCTGCGCGGTCAGTGATGTGCCTAGAAGAGAGAGTGCGAATGAGTGTGTGTGTGTGTGTGTGTGTACGTACTCTTGGATGAGTGCACACACCTCAGGGTGTGCCCGAAACCCTCCCTGGCAGCTGCCTGTCCCACCTTGGGCAGGTGCCACCCCTCCACGCCGCCCCCCGACCCCCGAAGAAATTCAACTGGCCCTTCATTCCGAGTTGAGACGGCTGCTCCCTCCCCTCCCATTCACCTGTTCCCGCACCCGGAGTTCAAACGGCGGCTCCCTCTCTCCTCCCCCCACCGCCCCCGTACCTGCGCCCCCGCAGGGCAGATGTTTGGTTGCGTGGCGCGGCGCGGGGCGAGGAGGCGAGGACCCTGCCGGTCGTGTGGGTGCGGGGGTGA